CAGCAGCAGCAGCACTATCAGGCGAACATCTATCACGCTCCGTCCATGAGCTCCTCTTCACAGTATGTTGACCCCACTTACACGAATGTGACGACACCGAGCGGATACTACGACGCTAACAGTGTCTATCCACTTCAGTATCAACAGCAACAACAATATCAACAACAGCAGCAGGAACAGGGTGCATCTGTCCTCGGTGCCCCTACAACAGTGGTAGCGGCACCCCGTGAAGATGAGGCCAACAGGAAGCGCCCCCGTTCAGTGACGCCACAAGAGAGCAGTGATGACGATGATGATGATGAAGGCCCAGAGATGGAATTTGTGATGGAAAATGGTGTCGCAAGAGCCGTTCCCAAGCAGAGGTAAAATAGTGCCTGTATACATAAGCTAATGTGTGAGGAAAGCATTGTAGTTTGTACGACATGGCGTTGATGCATGGTTTTAGCTCGATATTTGTGTGGTTGTAAAGCAAGCTCGAAATGCCAGCCTCTCTCCGCTTCCCTCACTCCCTGCTCCGTAACAGCAGGAAAGAGTGGGTACTCTGTAAGGTATCTTGAATTCACAGGAGAAAAGGGTCTGCTGTTTTGTGCTTCTCGTAAGCCCCGAAATCCAAACGCTGGTATATTATTTGTTGATGATGTTTTGCCCATATATTTTTTGTTTTCTCTTTCTGTTTCTTATTTTCTTTTCTTTTTTATTTTTGGAGAGATGACACTCGACAAAAGTCTGAGTGCGCAGGTTTGAAGTTGCTGGCACGTCCCCTTACGTTGGGATGTCTTCCACTGCGACGGCCATTGGCGCAGTTCTTTTTGAAGCTATGAACGTGCTACAGCAGAAGCATCAGTAGTAGTAGTAGTAGTAACAGAAGCAGCGGAACAACGGATCCGCACTCCCGCACCGCTGCAACAAGAAAGGGGAGGAGTTGTCATGGGGTTAGTTTTCACAGAGTGGATGGGGGCCGAGTGCTGTATGGTCTCCGGAGGAACGAAGAAAATGGCGTGCAGAGCCGTAAGCAGCGTGATTCTTGTGATTAAAAAATGACTGTTTTTTTTTTTGTCTTTGTTTTCGGTCCAAGGCCGCACAGCGCATGGGTTCTCCTTCCAATATGCATCTCTTCCGTTCCCAGTGGTGTCTCTCTCACTCCATGTCCCCCGCTCACCCATAAATGATTTGGTTGTTTGTTTATTTCTGTTTTGCTTCTTGCGCAGCTTATCCAGGCTGCGATGCTGCGTCTGCCAGCGCCCAGTGATATGTTCAGTGAGGGTTCACCACTCCCCGCATCGCGGGACAGCACCTCTGTCACCCAGCGCAGTCTTGTCATGCTGCCGCGTGGGACGTCGTGCATCGGGCGCGGGGCGTTTGGCACAGTGCGCCTTGGCTGGGTGCAGGAGCGGAAGTGCCGCCGCCGCCGCGACGGCACGACAGCTCCGAAAATCCTTCTTGGTGCCTGCGCAGCCGTAGCGGTGAAGCGTGTGGCCATCCCTGACGCCACGAACATCGCGCGCAGTTACCGACGGGTTCTGCTGCTCCGTGAACTGCGTCTTATGGAACGCATCCGTATGCATCCGCACCCCAACGTGGTGCAGTGCTGGGGGTTTCTATTCGGGGCGAAGGATGGGAGCTCACAGCCTCTCTCCCAGAAAGACGCGACCGACGCCGAGGAGGCCAGCATGGCCGGCACAGTTCTGACGAGCCTCAGCAAAGAGCGGCAGCCTCTGAAAGGCGAAGCGAGCGATGAGGATGACGACGAGAGCCTTGATGAGGTGGACAATTGTATCCTTGACGGTGCTTCTTACGTGGACTTGTGTCTCTCCCTGTGCACTGGTGGATCGCTGGCAAATTATGTAAACCGAAAGGCCACAGAAGCCTCTCGTGGAACATCATCAGCAGCAGATGGTGGTAGTGGAGAGGTGCACACGTTCGCAAGCTCCGGTCCGAAGCTCAATATGAGCGCGAACCCCTCTGAAAAAACGGACATCGAGCCTATCAGTGCCGAGCACGGCCTAACAGAAGGCATGACAGGTGATGCCTCTTCATGTGTGTGTGGCTACCCCAGTGCTTCACACACAGAAGACTCGCAACCGGTGTTGGGCAGTGGGGAAGTTGAGATGGCTCAATCCGAGGCGTCAGAGGCGACGTCTACCATCATAACAGCTCAACTCGCAGTTCGAGAGCGGCACATTGTGGCTGTTGCGTACGCTCTGGTGAATGCGCTTCGTCACACGCACGAGATTCTGCGAACTTTGCATCGTGATGTTAAACCTTCAAACGTGTTAATATGCAGTGGTATTGGAAAAACCCCAGAGTATGCGATGCAGTCCTCCTCATTTTCTTCAGGGGTCTCGGACAATGAGTCCAACTTTAAACGTGGCACAATCGTCCCAAGTGGCGTCGCGTCCCCACGGCGCCGAGGCGGCTCAAATGCGAGTGAAACAACCAGCAGCAGTGAAGATTCGGTGGAGTTCTCCCTTTTTTCCGAGCTCCCAGTATCCGCTGGTGACGTCACGCAGCCAGAAAGGTCATATTCGGGCAAGGAGACACCTACAGCATCCGGGGAGCCTCCACCTGTCTTAGTGGTGCCGCTGAGTGCGGGGAGACATCGTGCACAGTGCGCTGCGGAGTCTCCACAACCTGTGAACATCGAGTATCTCCCACAAGCTGATGGGTGGCGAATACAACTGGCAGATTTCGGCGTCACAACCGGTGTTGGGCGGCTCTCGGGTACAGGCCGGTGTGGCACATTTCCGTTCATGGCCCCTGAAGTGGTGGGAAACCGCGCCTGTATGCACGCGTACGGCACCGCGGCCGATGTCTACAGCGTTGGAGTGACGCTACAGCATATGCTGGTGCACCTTGTTGTGGGAAATGGCGAGGCGAATCCAACGGCGCGCAGATGTGTGGAGGCTCTGGGAGCACAGTGGGTTGACGAAGATGATATTGCCGGACGATCAGATGTATTCCCCGTCACTGCAGCTGGCATGGCTGATTCTACAACGGGGGCAGGAGTATCAGAAAATGCAACTACAGACGCACGACCGCAATTTGTGGTGCCGAATGCTTGGCGCTGTGACAGAGAGCTTGATGAACAACAATACATCCGCAGCGCTCCTCGCGGTTTGGGTGGTCGAAGTGCCAAAACCGCGCAGGACAACACCAAAGATNATGCCGAAGAGACGCCTTTATTCGCTGTTCCCCGCTCGTGGCGTTGTCGCAACGAGCTGCTGGAGGGCGAGTACATCCGCCGTGGGCATGCAGCAGACGGGGGTGGCGGCGCCGCGCACGAATACCTTCTTGCCGACCTGCCCAACAACCCCAGCGATATGACGGGACTTCCGCTGCGTGCCCATAGGAGGAACCGGTGCAAGTCCTGCAGGAGAATTCACCGCAGCCTCGTCGAGTTGCTCAACGCCATGACGGAGACACAGCCGTCGCAGCGACCGCCATTGTCAAAGGTTCTCCAGAGTGCTGCGATTATTGAGCATGGTGAATTTATGGGCACAACTATTTCATCCCGTTCTCACGGCGGTGGTGACAGTGCCAATGAGGATGCTGCGCCACTTTTTCCCATGGAAAGAAGAGCAGCTGGTGGTCCCTTTATGCGTGCACGCCAACGGGCGGCGAAGGGCCGTGCCGGTGATTCGGCATGGGAGCTTTCCTTCACCACAGCGGGCAATGCGAAAAACGAGGAAAACAGCAGCAGCAGAAGTAGCAGCAGCGACGGAAAGAAGACACCGTCCCTGCTTTGGCGTCCACCCTCTCTTACCTTCCTTCGGGTGTCCGATGGTGGAGTTGGGGTACACAGATTGTAGCCAAGCGCAGGGGGTGGAGAAGTGGTTTTGCTTCTGAAGCTCATTGCGTCATGATATGGCGTTTCTTCCTTTACCATCTTTTTAATTATTATAGCGGGGTTCGTTTTTTGTCTTGTTTTGGGCTGTTTTTACGTTTTATTATATTTGAACAGATTGGTTTGTTTGTCTTTGATGTTTTCTTGTTTTTTTTTGGGGGGGTTCGGATTTACCCGCACGAAAAGGGGGAGGGGCACAGACGAGGAACAGAGACAGAGAGGAAGGTTAAATAAGTTTTGTTGGGGGGTACTTTGTTCCGTGGTTTGACGCTCGCATTACTTTTGCCGCCTTTTTCGGTGTGCCCGTTGTTGTTGTTGTTTCGTCATTCGTTGTCTCCATCCTCTGCGAATGTAGCGTCAAGAAAGCAAAAAAAAA